CCCCATCATGTGGGTGAACAATGCACACACTTGCACACCCATTTCCCATGACTGGGCAAACTAAGGGCGCTTTTTATCCCTTCGTGAGGGGCCGCCGTGGCTGCTCCGCTCACCTCTGTAGCCGAAGGGCGGAAAGCTGGCTTGATCTCTTCCGGTGTACAGCCACGCGGCAAACCTAAAATATCATACCTCAGCTGAACATGAACAACTTGCATCTAAACTTAAACTCATCAAACCAACGTGTTGGCTCTAAATGCCTGACTTTCTGGACATACCTGACATACCCATCAAAACAAAGCATCAGGCTGAATACAAGTGACGGTACGAAGTGGCAGCACATTCTACATTCCTTTTTGATACGACTGCATGTTGTTGGGGGCACAGCACCATTTCGACTCCAACGCGCTGTGACACGTGACACTATGCAGCCAGGGGGGCGGGTTCTCGCCAGGCGCTCTTCGCCCGGTGGATGCGGCACGGGCCAGCAGTGTAGCGCGAGAGGAAGGGCGATGAAGCCAAACCTATGCCATCGAGTCATGCCGGCGGTCTGAAAACTATAGTTTAAGTGCTTGCTTGAAGAAAGCTGAGCCTTTTTACAGTAAATAGTCCAAAGGAACACAGGAATGTGATGCGTGATTGGTCCAGGGTGCATGGGGACCCCTCAAAATCATATGTGCCTCTGCGAAGAGGCCAGCTCAATGTTGCAGCGTGGTGTCTTCGTTTTGAGCTGAAGCCTCTTTGCCGCGCTCTAGGGCCTCTAGGGCTCTAAGGGTGAGGGATCTCCACAAAATATCACAAGATTTTGGCCACCCTCTCCGCATTTGAGATCTGGAAACACATCACCAACCCCACATGACTTGTCTGAGTGCATTCAAACCTTTGTAATTATACATATGTATAAGTTCAAAGCCTCCCTCAACACAGCCTCTGCGTCTGGCTTTGGAAGAAAAACAGCTCCGCAAAGGCAAAAGGCCTTGGTCGTGGGCGGGCACTCAGCATGGGATGTCTCTCATTGTTTCTTGCCACCCTGGAGGCCCAAATTCTTCAGATGTGTGTGATGTTGAAGCGGCCAGTGGGCAAAAGGAGCCATGTTCTACAGAATGAAATTTGTCACCGTGAACGTGGCAGGTTTTATTAATTCAAAGGCCAGCCTCCGCAGATTGCCGGGACCTCATCAGCAAAAACATACAGGGGGACTGCAGCTGGATGATGCCGAATGGTTCCAACTTCAAATATAGCACCCAAAATGAGACCTAGCATGGCCTGCTCCTTTCTCTGAAAAGTCAGCTCCCTCCACCACAGGATATAGGTGATTCTATGTATATTGATGAATGCGTTTGGGCCATTCTAGGCCTTCTAAAGACAGAATAGTCTACATCTTGATAGGTTTGCAACAGTGCTATGGGCCCCACCCCAACCCTACAGTATCCCATCACCAAACCATCTGTCCAAAGACCCCAAGCTGCCGCCATCGGCGCATCCGACCGGGCCAGTGGTGAGCGCAACCAGGAAGGCTCAGGCTTCAGAGCTCAGGCTTCGAAACCAAATGGGCCACGTGTTTGGGGCCCCCCTTTCGGGGTGTCAGAGACGAATAGCCTCGAAAAGGGTGCGATTCGGGGTGTTTAAATTCACCACCCCAAAAAAGGGGTCTCCGGCGTCTGGTACAGCGGATGCTGTGTAAGAAGTGTAATGACCAAATTCTGGGTTTGCTTGATGATGGAGTTTAGTGGTGCAAAATTCTTAAACTAAGAAGATACTAAGAAGCCACATCGGCCACACCTGAAGATGCTTTCTGATATTCAACCTGGACACATTGGGCCCTCATGCTCAGCTTCTCACCCCCAAAGCGCTGGTTGGTTGGCTTGAAAAGAACAAACAACATACGATTCTAAGGGTATAGGTGCGGGTTTTCTGGTACCAGTGTGTGTGTGTGTTTTCTTATTGCAATTCTCTGTCCAGCTAGCTGCTTAATGCTGCTTACTTCCTCCGTGGGTGTTTCACCCTTCGCCACTCGTGGGCTGTGATTTGGTCCACAGGAGCGACGACCCCGGTCAAGCGGTCGAAGGCAACAGGGCCTGCCTCGAGCGGTCGATCGAAATCGCAGGAAGGAACAAATGACAAAGGCACCGATGTTTGTCTAAATCGATGTTTGTCTACCTTGCTGCCCTCCCTGATCGGGGTCTAGCCATTTCTATGAAGCATGGAGTGTCATGATCCACTATCCGGGATGCGAAATCTCTTGGCAGCAGGACTTCCCATGTTTGCTTTGAAAACTAGGCGGTAGGCGGTAGGGGCTTGCAGTAGAACCCTTTCGCACATGTTTAGGGAGGGTGTTGCCTTTGGGTTTGGGGAAGGTTGACAATTTCCGGGGTCGTGCAAAGTCCGGCAACAATCTGCCAAGCATGGACTCACAAACCAAGCCCACACACTTGTGCTCAGTTAGGCCGCCTACACTACATAGATTGGCCTCTGGCCCCAACGAACTGCAACTTCACTCGCATGTGACTCCAAGAACAGAATGCTCCTAGCGAAATGAACACCCTTTACCCTTGTGGATGGACTCCGCTGCAGCACTTGCTTTCTCTGATTAGTCCAAAATGAGGATTGAACAGTTTCCACATAGCATATCGACAATCGTCCGACACAGTGCCCGTGACCGCTATGACCCGTGCTCCTCGGGGGGTGCGCCATTCTCGAGGAGAAGCTCCACCTTCGACAGGGGCTCAGTGTGGACATGAAAATCCCAAATTATATAACCCTACCGACCCTACCCTTCTTCACTGAATATTCCACTGGGTCTTTGGATGTTCTTGGTGATGAATGCCAAGGTATGCCACAAATTGAGAATGGATTTGGTAGACATAAAGTGCTGTACTACAAGGACTAGCAGCGCAGTATGTCTCAAAGTGAGGGGAGTGGCCAACACCCTGGGACGTGAACATTTTGAAGTTCAGAACATGTTTAGCGTGATTGACCTCTTCAGTCGATAACACTGTGTTCTCTCCCAACCTCCAAACCATGCTCAGTTCGGCCAATCCCACATGGCAAACATCGATCCCAAGGCCCTACATGGGAAGTTGGAAGAATCAAACCAACATCCACTTGTATACACATCATTCATTATAACTTCATATATCACTTCTACTTGACTGATGTACTCAGTACCTCGTCTGTGGTACCTAGTCTTTCGCCCAGCGGCCACGTCCATGTGCCCCATCAATGCTGCGGCGTGCAGTGCCGTGCCGCCGCTCGCGTCGCGGAGCGTCAAATCCGCACGCACCTGGCGGTCCGAGGACGCGCCCAGCAGGGCAGTGGGTAGGTTCCGAGCCATCCCACTCACGCACTAGAGTCACCAGTCATATGCAAAACACAGAAAACTATATAAATGGCTCAATGGCAGCTTGCAACATCATCATTATAGGTCAAACTTGGTGAAAACAGGTCCTGTTGTACCTCTCAGCGGGTCCACCAGCAACATTGCACTTTTGGGCGGCGTTCCATTTCAAGTGATGAACATTGGGACTTAAGGGTGGGCACTCATGGCCGACCCTCAGAGGGTGAGACAAAACGCTCGGCCATGGGGTCATCCCAAGGACGACGGATATGTAGCCCGCGATTGGCGTGGCACACCATGTTGGACCAACCACCAAGACATCACTCAACACCAAACCAAATAAACCAACATATCTAGTCGAAACATACCGAAGCAACGCAAAGTCCGCTCGCATCGACCTCCATTTTCCTTCTGTGACCTGCAGCTTGGTCAGCTGCAGGTCGCCACCCCGAGCTTCGAACGCCAGAAGGAACGATCCGCATTTGCCAGGCATGGCCACTAGAAGCACAATGTGCCAGGTGGAAGGTATCGCTGAAGGAATCGCATCTCCCGTACCCAGGCGGTCACGAGGGTCGGAGGTGTATGTCGGCAAACTGCAGGAGGAGGGCCCGGCGGCGTGAGGGGTGGTTCACCTGCACGCTCGGCGAGGGCGAAGCGGAGAGATGGTCCGACCGATCGTTTTGTGTGGGAGATGTCTGAATCCCGTGAAAAAGGAGGGAATGATGCATTAGTCTGGAAATATCTGGAATGACAAGCTCTTGCAACATCTATGCGTGAAACAGGTCGACCAGAAACCACGAGAAGCGAAACATCTCAGCTGTCCCATCCCAGGAGAGCAAAGGCAACGTAAGCCCTTTCCCCCAAAGTGAGGTGGCACCAAAGTTTATTGATTGGTGTATGCATACATGATTACTGATTACACACATAATATCGGATTATGCGTATGTATGAATGTGCATATATGAGTTGATTGGAGTTGCACTTATCTGATCCATACAATGTTACTTGTGCTCTGCTTCTTCATCTTTCTACTTCTTTCTCTTGGGAATGCCAAGTGCAAGGGCCGATGAGATACACCTAATTCAAATAAACAAATATGGCGCAACTCAGGCGCAACTCCCATGATTGGGTGGACTGCGTCTTGTGCCAAACTGCTAGACTGCTAGACACAATATCATAATGAATATATCTTCGTGGGACTTGCGCCATCTATAGTTCTCTGATTAGTATATATATATAAATTAGTCTATATAGTTCTCTTGAGAATCAGTTCTATAGTTCTATTGTTGATAGATACAGTATAGTTCTAGCCTGGTGCATTTCTCTGATTCATTCAGCAACGGCAGTCACAGCGCCAAGTCCGGTCGTGGCCTCAGGGCCCGGTCCGCTGCGGTGGAGACTGGGCTGCGGCGGCCTGCTTTGACTTCAAGTATCGCCCACGAAGACCTCAGAACTGAGCAGTACAAGCCTTCCCAAAGCTAACATAGAAGCTAGTAGGCTTGCTGGATTTTGGGCTAACAATGTTGGTGTATGTTATCAAGGTAATTGGATAACACCTGATATGACCATCCCAGCTGGGAAATCATCTGGCCCATGTCCAAAAATGGGCGGCCCATGTCTCAAGCAGGAGACCAGCAACCTTCATCTTGGAAAGACCTGGAGTTACACCTGGTTCTTGAGCCAGCATCAAGCCAGCTGACCTGGAGGCTTTAATTGAACCCGGAGATTTTGAAGGAACAATGTGAAAAATGCTATGCATTCAACTAGTGGAAAGGGGAACGCCCAACATCATGCCAACATCTGTCCATTTATCCCCCAAGATTTTGTTTTTACTTGTGCCCTACGGATACTGATTCAATCCACGCTGGTGGAGCATGCTGCCCCTCAGTGGTGCAGGCTGATGTTCTTGTGGTGCCCAGGTGGTACTAAGGCGCCAACACGAATCTTCTCAGCCACCAGGTCAAGGCAGTCTTGAGCGCAGCCAATGTCCTGCAAAATATCTGCAATAACCGACCCCCGTCTTTGCGGCATCTATACTTAGTATACTTCTTTTATTTTTATCAAACACATTGGTGTGCATGAAACAGCGTTGAGCTCCGGGTCCCCTACCCCCAGTAGAAAGTCCATATCTAGCCAGTTTGCCGTGTAGATTATGATGCAAATATTGTGAGATAGTGGGCCCCTGGGAATGTCTAGAGTCTATGGTCGTCTAGTCTATGACAGCAATCTACGTCTAACGCCCTCTTTCGATCGTGCAAGCATCGATGTGCACAGTTCGGGGGGCAGCACCCGTGCTGCCAAGCAGGATGAGGGTCCAATGTCCAACATTGACTCTGCAGTTGCGCGTAGCTGCGCGTTACTGCGCGTGACTGGCAAAGCAGTCCTCATGAAGGCAGTCGATACCTGGGCGTTCTGCATCATCAGCATTGCCCACTGAAAATGTAATGAATGCAAAATATAGGTGACCATATATATATATATACTAGTTTTGTATATATATATATACAAAGGGATGTAGTTGTCCTTTGTATCCCCGCAATTTCCTCCAGAAACACGGTTTCAACGGCGAACGTGTCACGCGAACTCCGAACAAACAACCAAGGTCTGGGAAACAACCTGCATGACAAGCGCTGGTGGTTCGTTTGGGGGCTAACCTGCAACATCCTGCAACACATGGGGAACACATGTATTTCAAGTCGATTAATGTTGCAGCGCCAGTCGCACATATCACGCACCCTCAATGACTTGATGCTCCTGCTGCCCTGAAAGCTTGAGAAATCATGAGAAATCACTGGTGTACTTGCTGGGGATATAAAAGGAGATCCTGGTCCACGGAAGGATGCCCAACTTCTTGGGTCAAGCGGGGCATCCAAACGCCAGTTGTGGTGGAACAAACGCGGATCAATTGTGGGACATCAGTCTCTCAACTAAGCTCGGTCAAGGGGCAAAGCTCGGCGGAGAGACGTTGGCACGTGTCTCTTGCCACCTTCAGAACCTCGACTCGTGCAGCGAGCTAGCCCCCGTCCGTTCGAGTCATGGAGTGGCGAACGAACGCCGCAACTGTGGATGGTCGACTTGGTTCACATTGCCTGAAACATAAACACTCGCGGGAGGTGGGGGTTCTCATGTCTCTTCTTCTGCACCTGGACCCAAAAAAATCGAGGCCAAACACTTGAAAACCAAAGCTTAGCACGTCATGCATTCCAACTTGTGTGTACATCTGTAGTCAGCATTGAGTAGCGCAGGCGCAACCAAGGTCAAAGCATCTTAGATCTATAGCATCAAAGGCCCTGTGGAACACCTTGCCAAGCAAAGGAACACAATAAATTCTTGGTATGGCCGCAAAACAACCGCACATCTGAAATCGATCTATCTATATATATATTTATAAGTTCTTAGCAAGCAAGACTTAAATGGTGGGCGCTTGATCTAAATATGCTCAACAAGGCTGGGTGTGGCTAAGGTCCAATTGGTTTGGGCAAAATACAAAAGGAATTGATGACATTACGTTAAAACCATCATAGGCTTCAATATTCACAACTCACAACGATACTATAACGTTGAAGCACCTATGTCATGTATGCTTTATTCTCCAATCGAGTGCGGCATACAAACATCAAAACGCTATAGAATCAAAGCACAGTGGTCTGTTAAGACTCTGGACTTTCTGTCTTCATGGTTTCCATGCTCAAAAAGAGATTGCCAAGGAAAGCAGCTGACTGAGGATCCAGCGCATTGATAAGTCCTAAACAAAGTCTGCTATAAAGCAAATGGATTTGAAATGGTGAGCGCACCAGTGGCGAGTCACTCGGGTACAAACAACTCCCCTTCTCTCCCGTACCCATCCTGCGCAGGCCTTTCCCCCGTAGTCAACCTGTTATATGATTGGTCCAATTAGTTCCTAAGGTTGGACCATTTGAGACAGTGGGTTGCGGAATGTACTGTCCACGAATTCAGCTCAGGGACGATCTGCAGCATTTCCCGATCTCGCTCGAGTTGTTCACTGCCATAGCCAGAGAGCAAGTTGTCCTGGGAGGCCAGCAAGAGACTGCAGCTGTACCTCAATATATGTGTGTATAATATCATATAATACCATTTGATGTTCATTCTTTTTGACATCAATTGTTTGCGGCTGTTGGTGTTCAACACACCACAAACAATCAAACGAACAAGAACTGATTGCATGTGATTAGAAAGAACATTGGGACAGCTGATCCTCCAACAAGGTGACCGGCGGTCAGTCGTATGCCCATGTGAGACCAAGGTTCCAGCCGAGCATTGGCCTCCTGCCACAAATAGAGATCGGCCCAGTTGCTGCCCTCAGCCAACTATCCCCCAGGAATCGTACGCATTCTACGATCTTACACGCACACACACATATATATATATACACCAAGAGCCTGAGTGACCCCTATTTCAGATCACACACATCACCCAAAATATTCTTTTATTTCCTTTAAAAACAAAGGTCAAATGGTGTATCTATAATACATATATATATATATGCCATACAATACTAGGTACATCCCAATCCAAAAATCTTTTGTGGCCACATCAATAATGCTATATACAACTGTTCGATGCTTCTTTAAGCACATGTTGTAGGTCACTAAAGGCATGTGCATAGGCATGCGCATGGCTATAAGCATGTATACGCGCGTTGCTCAAATGGTCCAACGTCCGCCGAGGTGAAGGGCACAAAAATCGAACCCATCCCTAAGCAAATGCTCCTCCAAGTCAGGGCCAGTGGAGACAGGTCGGCGGTCCACAAAGGCCGCTGATTGATATAATACTATGGTACCCTCTAGTACCCTCCCTGGAACAAAATGGAGGGGCCATTGTCATTGTCCACTTCCATGTGTGTCGGGTATACCCTATAGAGGGATACAAGTACCTCCTTGGGTGTTTGGACCCTCCAAGTGCATAACAGTCTCTCCAGTCACAGTCTCAAATGGGATGTGGATCTAATAGGGATCAATACCAACTGCAACACGTTCAAGGACGCTACTAGGGGCTCCTGGCCTTGCTACTAGGAGCAAGAACGCTACTAGGGGCTGTCTGGCTGTCTTTGTTGGGGCCGACTTCATCTTCGTCGTTCAAGGGCCAGGAAGCGTCGATCCGTCTTCGCCTTGGTCAACGCCTCGCCGTTCTCCTGCGCGAGTGCCAGACCCGCCGAGCCATTGGAGCCTTCAAATCCCAAATGAAATGACCGAACCCTTTTGCTGCATCACTCCTGATGGCCTGAGTGTTCCTGCCTCTGGCCACTAAGAGTTGCGCTTGGGGATCGCAATGTAGCAAGCTCGAGGATTCGAGAGTGACTTGGGCCCCAACGACACATCTGCGCCAGCCAAACATCAAATCTCCTCTATAATATATAGTAACCCTAAACATCCCTATAGTGATCCCCAAATAGATAGAAACGGTTTCCAATACAATTTTAGTGGGGATCTACTTTTCTATCTATTTGGGGGTCTGTATAAGCCCATTCGGGCCACCTTCGGGCAACCCCTCCTTCTTCACCACAAAGCCTTTCCGCGACCGGAAGGCGCAAACCTGTCGTCGGTCAGAGGATTTCCTGGGCAGTCTGCCGGTGGGGACGGGCTCAGTCAATGATGAACCCGTGTGACTCTGTGACCTACCAGGAAAAGGTATCTAATTGGATAACAATGTGTGGTCAATCACAAGCACAACCCTTCTTTCATCAAACCAGTTGGGATATGCACATCACAAGCACCCTCTCAGATCCAAAACACTATTGCGTGAACGACAAAGTTGTCGGTCCAACAGCCGTTCAACATGTCACATACTACCGAATGTGCGAATTTATGCTGCTGCAAGCGTGCATAGTGACGTGCATAAACCACACCACAGTCTTTCTCAGCCCCCTCTCAAGTACGTGAATTGAGTGTATGCGTTCGTTGATGCCAATCCACCCAACCGTTGGCCGCTCTCTCTCTCTCTCTCTCTCTCTGTCTCTCTGGTGAGAACAGATTTGTCAAACGACATTCGGCGGCAGCAGCCGTAGTAAACTCGTCCCAAAGAGAGCATCAAACACCTTCCTGCGCATCTTCCGCGAACTTACCAAGAATCAAGCGCACATGCAACAACTGCGCGAAGGTCAGGTTCCACTGAGAGCGGAACGCCAGCAAAGAATCATCAAAGCGCTCGGTGATAAAAATAAAGTCCTCGGTCAGGAAGTCAGAAAGAGTATTCTAGCACCACCAGCTTGCAGAAAGATCTCCAAAAATGGAAAAAACAAAAACACTGATCAGTTCATAAGAGGGTCACCATTGACTATACTATGATAATATAGGTTCCCAGCGATCAGTACTTGGAGGACTTTCCCTTATATATACTAACGGTTGACAACTAAAGGACCTTCCCAACATCCGCCAGCATCTTAGACCAACGTTTCAGCAGCTCAAGGGTTGCCACGTGCGAAAGCACTGCATTGGGCCATGTCATGGTGTTCCAAGAATGGCCCCGGGCGTAATCTTTGAAGAAAAAAAGAAAGCTGACGCAAGCGAACCTTCAGTGAGTTACATTCCATGAATGCTGCACAATATTATTTAGGAATGGTCTCCTTCCAATTCCATACTCCCAATTGTTCTCCCTCTGGGGACTTTAGAGGTGCCTTAAGGTGCAGCAGCCTTTTGTCTTTAAAATGTGAACTTGAATTTGTATAATTGTGCAGCACGTCCCACAATTATCTCCCAAGACTTGTTGGGCCAAAAATGCTCAATGGTGAATCTGTCATGGCCACCATCGCCCAAAAAAGGTTGTGGAGCCTTGAAGTGCTACTACTCACGTCCCTATATTTTGTTTCATTTAATGTCATAATGTAAAACTCCCGAGCACCTATTAAACAACATACCCATATATATATTAAAAAACAACACTCATGTCGGTTTATATGTCATGTGTTTTAAATGGCGCCCTTTAAAACCGCTGCCAAACTACCAACATTTGGTTGCGTTTTTTCCTTTCTAATTAAGCTCCCCCCAAAAAACACATTAGTCTAATGAATGAATAACCACTATTTTAACACAGGTTTTTGTAAGGGGAAAGGGAAGACCCTTCGATCTGGAGTTTTTATTTCAATGTTTGATACGAGTTTTACAACGGGTTTGATATATTAAAACAACATCCCGGGTTATTTGTTGGTTTTGAAGCTCTTCCCAGTTTTCTGTACGAAATCCGCACTTCAAGCTTCACCAAGCGCTGCGCCTGCCACGAACTCTGCATTTTTTGTGCAATTAATCAATGAGTCAAGGATCGGATGATCCTCCCACTCACCCTATTTTGGACAACCCGGATTTCAGGGACCCCCTATGTCAGAAAATGCACCCGAGTTTTTGTTAATAGCGGGGCCGTGTCGTTTTTGATGTGGAGGGGATTACATACAAATACAATCTACGCAGTTCTAGTATCTGATCCAGGAAGGCCCGGCATGGAAATTCCTGGCGTTCATGTTCAATCCATCCGCATCTTCCCACGGACTCGTCTCGAAGTCTTGTCAGTCTCGTCCCCGACTGCGCTGTTGGGCAGATCGAGGAGCATATCTTGCCAACAAATGGTCCACTGGCTCCGAGGGCCACAGGGAAAGAAAATGATATTGAAAGTTTCCACAGCCTCAGGGATCATCCAATCGCTGCCGAGGGCTTCACAGTTTTCGCCACGAAAAAGCAGCGAACTGATGTGCTTTCTTGCTCCGCAGCTAGAAGGCACTCAGCTGAAGCGATTAACAACTATGGCTGTGTCTCGGACTAGCGTGCATGGAGCTACTGGTTGGTCGGATTGCAAGTGATAGCTACCCATATATATATAGCTGCTACAGCAAATGTGGTCAACGTCTCCAGAAGAGAAGCGATGGACAGCGTGACATTGGTGACATCCTTCTTCATCGTTGTTGCTGCAATTCCCTTCCACTGGTTCCAATCATTATCTTATATATATATATAATCATATGACCCCTTGAGATACTTTTAATTATTTCTTTTGGGGGGATGTTTGGGGGGGAAGGTGCTGCTGCACGAGTCATCAAGTAAGTTAAGGGGAACACGTAACATTGTATCACAGTTCTACTGTGAGCCACTTTGTCTGTCATAAGTCAGTTGCCACGTGCTATGCAAAAGAACTTCTACGCACAAGTAGGTCCATGTCATCGTGAAATAAACTTCCCACGTCCCTCCAAAAAGGGTGTTGGATTCCGTGAGGGAGGAGCCCCTAGTAGCGTCCTTGCTCCTAGTAGTAAGGCCAGGAGCCCCTAGTAGCGTCCTTGCTCCTAGTAGTAAGGCCCTAGTAGCGTCCTTGCTCCTAGTAGTAAGGCCCTAGTAGCGTCCTTGCTCCTAGTAGAGCCTCTAGTGGGGCAGCTCGAAGATGACCAGTTTGATGCCTGGCGACACACATCCGCATAGCTGAAGTTGCTTCGATTACAGTCTCTTCGCAGCCAGCGCATCTTCTCCTGATGTCAGCCAGTCATCCCGAAATGCAACAAAATACATTAGCACTGGAGGCATATATAAACGACCCTTCCCCCACCCTGGACCAGTGGATGATTATACTGCAAGGGCCACTGATTCAATGATGACGTGAATTATGTATAATACAAGTAGTTCCCGGGCAAGCCGGCGGCGGAAGTTTCCTATAAGAACAAATTGACCTATAGGAGTGTCCACGTTCTCTCCAACATGCGCATCCTCCAGTCAAACGCACGCGCTCCGGACTTGTGCCCCCTGCAGGATCAGCAGCTCACAACAGCGTACTGGGTTGTATCTTTGCCATGACAAGAGGGGTGTATGACGAGTGGTGTATATGATGAGTGGTGTATGACGAGTGGTGTATGATGAGTGGTGTATGATGAGTGGTGTATTGACCAGCAGTTGAATGTCCTGTCCTGCATAAATGCAACCAAATACTATCAGTATGAACTGTGCCAAACCTGCACGCCGCGAGAGATGACTCAGCAGCGAGAGATGACTCAGTCGCGAGAGATGACTCACAGCAGCGAGAGCTGACTCAGCAGCGAGAGATGACTCCTCCGCGTACTACACTTGTACTACAAAGTGGCCAGTTCTCAGCTTCCAGCTCCACAGGTTGTTCCGCGTGCTAAAGTTGTACTAGAAAGTCGCCAGTTCTCAGCTTCCAGCTCCACAGATACTCCGCGTACTAAAGTTGTACTACAAAGTCGCCAATTCTCATCGTCCAGCTCGCCAGATACTCCGCGCACTAAAGTTGTACTACAAAGTCGCCAGTTCTCAGCTTCTAGCTGCACAGATTCCTCCGCGTACTAAAGTTGTACTACAAAGTCGCCAGTTCTCAGCTTCCAGCTCTACAGATTGCTCCGCGTACTAAAGTTGTACTTGAAAGTCGCCAGTTCTCAGCTTCCAGCTCTACAGATTGCTCCGCGTACTAAAGTTGTACTAGAAAGTCGCCAGTTCTCAGCTTCCAGCTCTACAGATTGCTCCGCGTACTAAAGTTGTACTACACAGTCGCCAGTTGTGAGCTTCCAGCTCTACAGATTGCTCCGCGTACTAAAGTTGTACTACAAAGTCGCCAATTCTCATCGTCCAGCTCACCAGATACTCCGCGCACTAAAGTTGCACTGCAAAGTCGCCAGTTCTCATGGTCCAGCTTGCCCGATACTCCGCGCACGACAGTTGCACTACGATGTCGCCAGTTCTCACCTTCCAGCTCACACATTGCTCCGCGTACTAAAGTTGTCCTACGAAGTCACCAGTTCTCAGCTTCCAGCTCCCCAGATGCTGTGCCTGCCACGAAATCTGCCCATGGAGGTTCACAAAGTGCTGCGCCTGCCACGAAATCTGCACCTCGACACTCACAAAGTGCTGTGCCTGCGAAGAAATCTGCACATGGAGGTGCACAAAGTGCTGTGCCTGCCACAAAATCTGCACATGGAGGTTCACAAAGTGCTGCACCTGCCACGAAATCTGCACATGGAGCTTGAGCTGGTGTATGAGCGGTGTATGATGAGTGATGTATGATCAGTGGTGTGTGATCAGTCGTGTATGATGAGTGGTGTATGAGGAGTAGTGTATGATGAGTAGTGTATGAGTCGCCAGTTCTCATCGTCCAGCTTGCCAGATACTCCGCGTGCTAAAGTTGCACTACAAAGTCGCCAGTTCTCAGCTTCCAGCTCTACAGATTGCTCCGCGCACTAAAGTTGTACTAGACAGTCGCCAGTTCTCACCATCCAGCTCCACAGATACTCCGCGTACTAAAGTTGTACTAAAAAGTCGGCAGTTCTCAGCTTCCAGCTCCACAGATACTCCGCGTACTAAAGTTGTACTACAAAGTCGCCAGTTCTCATCGTCCAGCTCGCCACATACTCCGCGTACTAAAGTTGTACTACAAAGTCGCCAGTTCTCAGCTTCCAGCTCGCCGGATGCTGTGCCTGCCACGAAATCTGCACATGGAGGTTCACAAAGTGCTGTGCCTGCGAGGGAATCTACATGGAGGTGCACAAAGTGCTGTGCCTGCCACGAAATCTGCACATGGAGGTTCACAAAGTGCTGCGCCTGCCACGAAATCTGCACATGGAGGTTCACAAAGTGCTGTACCTGCCAGGAAATCCACGTGGAGGTTCACAAAGTGCTGCACCTGCCACGAAATCTGCACATGGAGGTGCACAAAGTGCTGTGCCTGCCACGAAATCTGCACAGGGAGGTACACAAAGTGCTGCACCTGCCACGAAATCTGCACATGGAGGTTCACAAAGTGCTGTGCCTGCCAGGAAATCTGCACATGGAGGTACACAAAGTGCTGCACCTGCCACGAAATCTGCACATGGAGGTTTACAAAGTGCTGCACCTGCCACGAAATCTTCACTTCAAGAAACAAGTGAAAACTCTAATCCCAATGGACGGACGATTCCGAGCATGATCCGAGCATGATCCGAGAATGATCCGAGCATGACCCGAGACCGTCTCGCAACCGTCGTTCCGCAGACCTTGACTTGCCAGCTTCGGAGCCACCGGTTCCATTGAAAAATACAGCATTTCGTGCCTTCGCTATCTCTCCACTACGCATTTTGTATTGCGCCTGCAACGACATCTGCACATGGAGGTGCACAAAGTGCTGTGCCTGCCACGAAATCTGCACATGGAGGTTTACAAAGTGCTGCACCTACCACGACATCTGCACATGGAGGTTCACAAAGTGCTGCACCTGCCACGAAATCTGCACATGGAGGTTCACAAAGTGCTGCACCTGCCACGAAATCTGCACCTGGAGCTGGAGTTGCCTGGAGCTTGAGCTGTTGAAACCAGAGCTGGTGTATGAGCGGTGTATGATGACTGGTGTATGATGACTGGTGTATGATGACTGGTGTGTGATCAGTCGTGTGTGATCAGTCGTGTATGATGAGTGGTGTATGATGAGTAGTGTATGATGAGTGGTGTATGATGAGTGGTGTATGAAGACTGGTGTATGATGAGTGGTGTATGATGACTGGTGTATGATGACTGGTGTATGATGAGTGGTGTGTGATCAGTCGTGTATGATGAGTGGTGTATGATGAGTAGTGTATGATGAGTGGTGTATGATGAGTGGTGTATGAAGA